AGCTATCCCTGGACCACAAAATCAGGGAAAACAGGGCCAGAAGGGAACTTAAAAGCTTATCAAGACCATCTCCCTGCCCCAGGATACAATCAGGTATATGTGGCTCATCGACTTTTAAGCCTACAAGAAACTCACAGAGATTTTACTCTCCAAAGCCTCTTCTCTTTCTTGCTGGCTCAAAGAAAAGCTTCACAGCACTCTGTGAGCTGCTGCAGCAGCAAGTCTCTGTTGACCCACAGCAATAGCTGCTGCTGGCCTTACAGGGATGTTTGGGACTTAATAAACAAGCACCTCCTCACTTATCTTCAAAGCACCTCACAACCATTAACTAATTAGCAATAGTAATTATGAGACTGCTCTTCTGGGTTTATTTACTTGGTTCTAGATACAAGTGTTAAGAAACTCAGGTCACTTTACTGGCTGCTGTGGCGTTGCCACAAGTGTCAACAGAGATCCCACAAACCACTTCATGTAGGGTTTTAGGAAACCAATGAGGATGAAGTGGGACTGACTTCTCCAGGAGATGAAGTTTCAGTCTTGGCTTTTGGAGTGACATATTTGCTGTGTTGATGTCCAAAGTTTCAAACATTTGTTTAGAAGCTGTAGAAGAGTGAATAGCTAAGAAGGCTCTCCATAACTTGACCTCTTCTGAAGATGCTGCAGATGTCTTGACCTAGCAAAGGAGACAAACAGGACACCCCAGGTGCAGGGTTGTCACCACAGCAAACCTCAGAACAGGCTGGATCAGCCCTAATTATCATCCTGTATCACCATACTATAGCTGTGGATGGAGACAGGAGCCACTCTGAGTGAAGCTCAGCACCAAAAAAACTCCAAAGAGAAATAAGAAGAACACTCACCCTTTAAAGGGGTTAAAAGTCAGAGGGATGTGAAGGGACTGCCCTGAAGTCCCCTGGTAACTAAGTAGCAGAGCAAGGATTTGAAGCAAAGGATCCCAAAGCTCAGCTCAGCCTTTATCTGACACACTAATGCTCTACAAGTGACAGTCTCTTGGACAATTCCCTCTGAGCCTGGAATTATTTTTCATCATAATATTACATTATTTGCCATCTGCCTCCACAATTGGCCATTGCTGTAATGTAATCCAGCCTTGCCCTGGGCTGTCACGGAGTTTGGACAGCCCTTGGCTTGACACAAATCCATATAGCAATGCATGTCATTCTGGAGTGCAGGACCATGACTCTTCCTACTCAGGCAATATTTTGATTTTATAATCATCCTTCAGCCTGGAGGTTGGCAGATGGGGGGCTCAGTGTTAGTATTGCTTTATCAGCAAGGTCAGATTTCAAAAATAGATGAGGAAAATGGCTGTAAGAAGATTCATTTGCAATGCTTGCAATTGCCAGGGTAACTCAGAGGCTTCAGTGAGCAAGTGGGGCCCTGGGAGCCAGGGCAGTGAGTGCTGCCATGGCCATGTGTTAAAGACAGAGATAGAAGGTTTTCCTAGATTTATCCCAAGTGGGAACAACGTCACTAGCACAAGGTTAAGCAGATGCATGTAATTCAGATAATGGAATCTGAGTCTTCTACATTTGAGATGTAAATAAGTTTAAACAGACTAGCTGCTGCAGCTCCAGGGAGGGAATGAAACTGATATTTTTCAATTAGAGTTTGCACAGGGACCAATCATTTTAACCAGCAAGACAGATTCAGCCCCTTGTATAGCTCCTCCAAAAGCCCACTGGCTTATCTAAACACTGAATTTGGTCCAGTGGATTCAGGTGGTGGCTTTTATCATCCTGACAAACATCAGAGTAATAAAGGGCTGCAGCAGGTGTCCAAACTGGGTGGCAGTTACTGTAGAGCAGGAGTAGGTCACTATCTCAGCAGCCAGTGAAGGCCAACTCACCCTTCAGTGTCCATGTGCAGAATTTAGCCCCTGGTTCAGATAAGAGCTCAAGTCTTTTCCAGCACAGCCATACTTAGAATGTGACAAAAATCACAAGCTCAGTCATGAATAGAGCAGTGAACCCTCATTAGACACAGCAACAACACTAGAATTTACTGCCATAGAGATACAAGTCTGAAATCCTGATGAAAACTCAGATCAAGAGTGCTGATAGTCAGACGAGCATTAACTGTGCTAAGCAAATCTTTAGGCTGTAAACTCAGATTAAAGCAGATTTAAAAAAATAAGCAACACACAGGAACTGTCATCTTTAACTCTTTAGAGCCAGAGCAAGAAGGGAAAGCAGATATGGTTTGTTCAAACCACATGTAACCTCCAGAGGTTAAAGGCTAACAGCAAAAACATTTCACCTGAAGATTTGAGAACTGAGATACCAATACATCTGTTCCCTCAAACCAATCCCTTTAAAAATGTATATTAACCAAAGGCACCCCCAAATATACACACACACTATGATTGAATAGCCTCAAGACAGCCACAGTATTGAATATAATTACCTGTGATTACTGAAAGGTGATTAAAAAAAACTGAATGAAGGGTGCAATTAGTCACAGGGAAAGAAAGGACCCAAATGTCTACAACAAGGTGTTCAAACCGAGGGAGGCAATTAGCTGGGTGTGGATACAGCACAGGTGAACAAAGCAATGCCTGCACCTGTGTGCCCTTACCCAGCACCACCGTGACTTCCCACCAGGGATCCAGAATCTCTATGGTGTGTCCTGGCTGCCAGAGGATGCCAGGGCAGGTCCCTGCAGTGCAAAAAGCTTAGCATTTTTTCAGTGTTTCAGGCTTTTTTTTTGACAGGCTGGGGAGGGCAGTGGGTGTTGGCCACAACCTGTTAGACAGAAGCTGAGCAGTGCAGGAGGAACTAGGTCAGGCAGATCCAACAACTCGCCCTGTCAGAGTGGCTGCACTGGGTAATTACTCCACAGA